CACACACACACACACACACACACACACACACACACACATACACACACACACACACACACACACACACACATACAAAAAAAATAAAATAAAAAATAAATCAGTTTTATGTATGTTAGTCTTACTTTTGTTGTTTGTCCTCCCTCTAATTTTTCTAAGTTTTATTGTGTGCCCGACTGAGCAGCCTTAACTTGAAGTAGTGCCAAACAGTCGGTGGTTCCTCGTTTGGAGTGCCTACTGCACTCTTATGGGGGCCGCTTGGTTCGGGATGTCTGTGTTGCCTGTAGGTGATGACGAATGCTCGTCGGTGTGACTCCCTGGCTTAGCGGGTGGTGGGAACCAACAGTCTGCGGGGTTCAATCATAATGTGAGTAGTTCATGTGTTGCTTTGCTTCGTGTTGGATGTGTGGATGGCCTCGTCTGCGCTCCGCCGCTGCCCTGTTGTCTGTCCCGCTTGCTTCGCATGCTATTCCTTGTAGGTTGATGTGTTCGTTATGTGGTGTGACCGTGTTGTTGGTGTTGTCTTGCACTTCGGTGCTCCACTGCCTTGCTTCCCTTTCGCTGGTCGTGCCTTCCGTGTTTGCTGCTTGCAGACCTTGTTGGTTGGTTGCCTTCTTGCGGGTGCCTTGTGCTCCGCTCCACGGTTGCCGAATTGCTGGTTTGCTTGCCCTGTCATCGCTTGCAGTGTAGTTGCCTTGTTTGTGTTGCCTTGTACTTCACTACACGGTTGTCGCGTTGCATGTCCTATGTGCTGTGTCGTTCCTTGCAGTTGTTTTTGGCGTTGTGCAACTGTGTAGTCTCTAATGTGTTGCCTGGTGCTCCACAGGGTTGCTGCCCGCTGCTATGTTCCGCTTGGGGACAGTCGGCCTTCAACTAGGGTCAAAGGGTGCATGACCCAAACCATAAAATACGAAGATTCCGCAAATTGTCGAGGTTTCAGCCTCCTGATGAGTCGATGCAACTCCGACGAAACAATCTTTCAGCATCTGCTTGCTTTTCTCAGTTTTTGCCTTGTTTATACTTGTATTTGTTTCGGGTGTTGTTTTTACATTGTCGTCGTTTGCCTTGTTGTTGTTTCCCTCGCCGCCTTACGCTGTTTGCTCGCCCATGCGTCTACCCCATGCCTTTCACCCAGTGTGGTTTGTTGTTTTGTGCTGTTTGCCTGCCCACCCGCCTCCCCCATGCCCTCCAGCCTATATGCTTGACTGCCTTCTGCTGTTTGCTTTGTGGTATGCTGTCTGTCTGCCCACCAACCTCCTTCTTGCCCTCTAGGCTTCGCCCTTTGTTGATGCCGCATGCCTTTTTCCCTCGTTGTTTTTTTTTTCTGCCTTCCCCTAGTTGTTGCATTTTGTTTTTTTCGACTCATGGTTTGGTGCCCTCGGGCTCTAGTCCTTGCATCTTTTTAGGGAAGTCGGTGAGGTCGTGCATACTGAGTCGAATGGAATATTCGGTTGGATCAGGGTGTGATTCGTTCAATGTTGTGATGTCTGTGCTATTGACATTATTGATGTTGTGTTTTATATAAACGCAGCTTGTTGCATCGCGAGGTGCAATGAACTCATCTCACCAAACACACACACACACACACACACATACACACACACACACACACATTGTCACTTACAAGCACACACACACACACACACACATTGTCACATACAAGCACACACACACACAATCAATTTTATGTTTGTCAGTCTTTCTTTTGTTGTCTGTCCTCCCCCTGATTTATTCTAACTTCTAAGTGTTTTTTTGTGTGCTCAACTAAGCACCCTTAAGTAGTGCCAAACAGTCGGTGGTTCCTTGTTTGGAGTGCCTACTGCACTCTTAGGGAGGCTGTTCGGTTCGGGATATTTGTGTTGTCTGTGGGTGATGACGGATGTTCGTCAGAGTGACTTCCTGACTAAGTGGGTGGTGGGAACCAACAGTCTGTGGGGTTCAATCGCGATGTGAGTGAGTCACAACTGGAAAATTTTCCAGAATTAAATAATCATTTTATAGTAAAATTTCATTCTGAATTTCAAATTTTCATTTCATCTTTAAAAATGTCATTCAAATTTTAAAATTTTTCGTCTTACTTGAAAACTTCACTTCCAAGAATAGGGTATCCCTTCTTATTTGAACTGCATGCTAGAGATGGAATGCAAGTCTGAATGAGTTCATGAAATATTTTAATTGGACTGTCATTCTAAGTAAGGATTTTCAGTCGTAAATAGGTTAATCCAATTTAAATTAGAAGATATTTGTTGTAGTAAAATTAAAGTTTGATTAAAACATTTCATAAACTCGTCCAGACTTTCACTCCATCTTGGACAAATAGATGTATTTGGAAGGGAAACTCATATTTAAACGTGAACTTATCAAATAAAACTGGAAATTTTAGAATTTGAAGAACATTGAAATGATAATTTATAAATATGAAGGATTTTTTTTTTTGTGGAATGTTTTTTCAGCTTTCATTTCTCGTGTGAATTTTTATGTTGCATGTGCTGCTTTGCTGCGTGTTGGATGTATGGACTGCCTCGGCTGTGCTCTGCCGCTACCTTACTGCTTGTCCCACTGGCTTCACATGTGGTTCTCTGCGAATTGTTGTGTTCGTTGCGTGGTGTGGCCGTGTTGTTGGTGTTGCCTTGCGCTTCGCTGCTCCGCTGCCTTGCTGCTCATTCGCTGACCGCTTGTATG